GGCCCCGCGTCGCGCCCTGCTCGGCGCCCGGCGCCGCTTCCCCGCCGCTGTCGAGGCGTCCCGTTGCCACAGGCCGCGGGGAGCCTCCGGTGCCCAAGAGGAGAGACCTTCCCCCAGAACGGCGCGGTTCTCTGCTCGCCCTCAGCCCCGAGTAACGTGAAATAGCCCAAATCGCAGCCGGGAAAACGTGCCCCCTCCGCCCGGCGGCTCCTTGCAAGGGGCATTTGCTCGTGCCTTGCTTAAAAACGGCCCAAATGGGTAAAAAAACAAAAAAGCAGCGAGTGGGAGCGGAGGCCGGATGCAGGAAGAGGCGCGGGTGATGCTCGCAGGCGGCAGTACCCGCTGCCTTTAGCACAGTTGTGCGTTCTCTCAGTTTTTGCTTTTTGCCAAAGTTTGATGCCCTTCGCTAAACGCGTTGCCGTTATCACTGTGGTTTTAATGTGTGTTTAATGGGAAGTTTCCTGCTTCTTGTGATCCCTGCGCTTGTGAGGAACTAAAACATTTTGCCTTGTTCTTCCCGTTTGAATCCAGAGTCTTTATGAGCAGATGCATCCTCTGAGCTTATTCTGGGGATAACTCACTATGTTTTTTGATGTCCACATTGTTTCTTTCCATTCCCCATGGGAAACTTGTTAAAAGTTGCCATATCATAAACATGTGACAGAGGTGGCTTCTCTTTCTGGCATTAATAAACAAAAAGTTTAGAAAGACACACAGGGAAGTGTTCAGCCTTGCTAGATATTATAAAAGCCTTGAAAGGAAGCTTGACAGGAGAGCTCTGATCCGCTGGTCTAAGTGACACTGTGCTAAGTTCAGCCGAATTCTGTAGAAATCCCCAGGTGACAGTTTTTATGCCAGTAAGTCTATGCACAGGATTGGGAGTGTGTTATTTTAGTTATTTTTTACTTTTGTTAGCAATTGAGTTTGCAATAGGGTTTATTATTATTATTACCAGTTTTTGCCGTGGCTTGCTTTCTAAATTTCATGCGGGACAACTATTAAGCCATTAAAAGGCATTATTAAAAATGAATGATATAGTAATTAATTTGATGTTGCAGATAGCAAGTTAATGCGATTGCTCTTGAATCCTCCAGATTTTTTTTTGCCAAGCTACAATATTTTTCATGTGCTTTCACGCTGTGCAGGGGTAAACGGGGAGCATCAGGTCTGAGTAATTTTGGGTGAAACCCCAGCGATGTGGATGGTTTCAGCCAAGCAGCCGTGTGCGACATGAGCACAGCAGCCCCCGAATATTGGGAATGTTTCCTGCGTGGATGAGGCCCTTGGGATGGCCGGTGCGAGTGCAGCTTGGAGACACTCGTGTGTTGGGATGAAGAGTGTGGGAAAGCGAAGGGTGGCACGAGCGGAGGGTGACTCTGAGGAGCGCTGGGGTTGTCGAGTTGTGATTTGGGCCCGCGGGAGCAGGAGCTGGACTGCTCGAGCTCGGTTATGTGCGTGTAAAAAGCAGCCGAGAGCTTCTGATGTCGAGAGAGCTGATAGGAAACCCAGCTCGGGCTCAAGAGACAGCGGCATCGTTCCCGAACACCTGGTTTTGACTAATTTTGACTAACTCCGGGTTTTTCAGCGTTGCCAGTGAGTCAGCTGCAGGGCTTCCGTTCTCAGGGCAGATATTCTGCAAAATTCCTCGCATCCAGCGCGTCACGTTCCGCGTGTGTTTTAGTCCGATTGGACTTTCCTGCACGTCGGGATGGGAAGAGAGGGTTGTTTTTTCTCCTTGGCGCAATAATTCAGCCACAGGTTCTCAGTGTGTAACCCCAGGAGTGCTCGAGGTGTCCGAGCCCCTTCCTCCACTGGAAGGCTGTTGTACAGATATTGGGTATGCAGGGGGTTGGTTTTTCTCCTTGGCGCAGTAATTCAGTCGCAGATTCTCGATGTGTAACCCCGGGAGTGCTTGAGATGTCCGAGCCCCTTCCTCCACTAGAAGGCTGTTGTACAGATATTGGGTATGAACAGAGTAAAAAGTCTCCTAAATGTAAGTGACCGTTGCTGGTTTGAAGGCCAGAGGGTTCACGATAGCTCTAGATCCCGTGGTGGTGTCTGGATGAGGATTAGTTGTCCGAGAAGCCCAAAGCCTTTATTTTTCCCCCCCTTAGACCAGGAGATACTTTCTTATTGAAAGAGCTGCCTTGTTTGATGAAATGAACAGAAAATCCAAATCGATCTCCAAAGAAAAGAACCTGCACTAGGAAAAGATACTTCTTTTGAATGCATTAACATCCTTTCCCTTCTTCCTCAAGCAGGAAAAGAAAGCACCTAAATATTACCCTTGTCTTAACGTGTCAGATTTGCATCATCCAGCAGAAAGCAAAACTTAACAAAGCTTCCAGTCTCAGACTATCAAGGAGGAAAACATGCAGCAAAATTGGTCAAATACCACATGAGAATAGCAAAATTGTAGTTCTGGCGAAGCCCAAAATGTTGCATTGCTCTTAGTTTAGCAGAGTTCAGGTTTCTGCAGGTTGGTTAGGTAGTTTGTAGAGTTCTGGCACGTCCAAATCGAACTTTGGGTTCTGGGGTGGGTCACACTGGGGTGCACAACTCGTCAAGCATTTATTTCTACACAAACGGATAACTTTAATTTCAGAGCATTTGGGTAGAAAGAGAAAAAAAGTGTCTTTCTATTAAAAATCAGGAAGTTGAGAGTAATTCTAATACTTCTTGATTTATTTCTGCTCTCACTCTAGCATCTAGCAGTGAATGTGCTCTGAGGACTGAAATTCTAATGGCCCCTTATTTTCTATGCATGGTTTAGACACAAAGGTTTTTCGGGTATTCGGAAAAAATTGCTTTGGATGGAACTTGTTTTAAATAACAAGTCAGCCCAAACCGGGGTGAAATTTGTAGTCTGAAAACTGTCATTTTCTCTGCAGTTCATAGAACCGGGGTTTGTAAATAGTGCAGAGTTCCCCTTCCTGGAATGGGTGCTGGTGATTTTGCTGTGTTTGACCTTGCAGCATCAACAGTAACGTTTCAGTGAGGGGCTCGTGCCTGATGTGCAGAGCTCTTGGAGGGCACGGCGATCCCTTTGGATCCCTGCAATTAGGGAATGTTGCTGCACAGCGCTGGGCTACCAAATAGTTTCCCTGACCCACTCAATTACAGTGACAAATGCACGCAGAGTTGATTGCACTGGGCAGTAAAGATGAATACTAGCATCAATATAACCCGAATACAGGGTTGGCAAAATACATAATAAAATTCCGATTAAGCTGTTCTCGTCGCTATTGTAACTTTAATTTCTTTTTGCAGCCTCTGAGGAGGAAAGTGTTGTTAGTGTTGTGAAAGCTCTTAGGTTAGATATTGACTTGTATTGCATGGGGAGGGTGAGAATTGAGTGTGGGTAGCGTTCTGTGTAGATTCTGGTTATGAGAAGTATCCGTGGGACGTGTTAATGTCATTTCCAACCTGAGCAAAAGGGCACAATAACCCTCCCTTTTGCCTACACAGGGACAGAATAAATAATACAGCATGATATTTACTTTGGAAGGGCTAAATTGACCTTGCTTGGAAGCAAACTTGTGTTCCTTACCTGAAGTTCAGATCATTGTGTGTATTTTTTTTCTTACTGAACGTTGGGGTTCAGGTGAATGTGTTGGGGGATGTTGTTTGGAAGATCCTTCTCTAAGCGAATAGTTCAGTTCTGGAGATCTGAGTCTGGTTTCATTTAATCTGATGTTAGAGTTTTAAAATGAAGTGGAAAATTGAAGATGTGTAACAGCTCTTTCTCAGCAGTAATTTAATTCTGGGAATAATCTGTTTTTGGAGATATTTTGATATTTGGGGCTATTTTTCTCCCCCTCAGAGCCATAAAACGCTTAAGTCCTGAGTATTCAATACTAAAATAATACGGAGAAGCAGAGCAAAGCGAGCAGAATAACCTTCCCCGTTTGCCTTTTCCAGAGCCTATGGATGCAAACTCCCTCCCGCTTTTTCAGTGCAGGAGGGATGGGGAAACCCGCTCGGAGCTTGCTGGGTTGCTCCCGTGGGAGCATCGGAACCGGTTTGCCCGGCGCTGAGCTGCAGTGACCGACCTGAACCGGGCCGTCACGTAGCCTTGGTCCCTGTGCGCTGGCAGGACGCTCGTCCCACTCAAATTTGGCAAGACGGGGTGGGGAGAAGGCAGGAAAAGGCTCCTCAGCCCTTGGCGGGATCCTGCCGGGTTCTTCCCGGGCTGCCGAGTTCACAGGGCTCGACGGGGCCGAGGGAACGCGGTGCCTCCGCTTTGCTGGAGCGTGGATCAAAGCCTGTCGTCTCGCTGCGTCGTGCTCGAGTAGTGCACCCGAAAATCAAACCAGGAGGAGCACAGGGAGTGTTTTGAGTTGTAGCACCGTTTTTCTGACACTCTAACAGTTGGGTTTGTAATTTTTAAGTGCTTGCAGGTGCTCATATCGCTGCTTGAAACATCTTGGAAAAGAAGCAAGCAGACATTAAAAAAAAAAAAGGCAAAAATGTATAAATTTGGCAAAAACAGCTTTTCCTGATGATCCAGGACTACCATTCCAAAGTGCAGGATGGAAGGGTGGCTTCCGAAGGGGGAAGGAGGGATTTGCTTGGTAGACCTGTAGCTGTTTCAGTTTGCCGGCCACGTACTGCCTGGTTTTTGCTCACGACCTCTTTCCCGTTTCCCCCCCTGCTTTTCCCGCGCAGGCCCCATGAGAAGAAGGGAAAGCTGAGGATGCTGGAGCAGAACAATGGATTTCTCGTTCTCTTTCATGCAAGGGATCATGGGGAACACGATTCAGCAACCGCCTCAGCTCATCGACTCCGCCAACATCCGCCAAGAGGATGCCTTCGACGCCGGCAGCGACGGCGCCCCAGGCGTACGCGCAGTATCCCAACGGCTCCGCCAACGGATTCGGGACCGTTAGAAACTTTAGCCCCCCGGAGTATTACCAAATGGAAAACTCGAACGCGAGGCCGCACGACGTTCTGGAAAAACCTTCCCCTCCGCCGCCGCCACCTTCAGTGTCACAGACAGTGATTCCAAAGAAGACTGGCTCACCAGAGATCAAACTAAAAATAACCAAAACTATCCAGAACGGCAGGGAATTGTTTGAGTCCTCTCTGTGTGGGGACCTTTTAAATGAAGTACAAGCGAGTGAGTATGCTAAGGCGAAACATGAAGGGAGAAAAGAGAAAAGGAAAAAAAGTAGCAAGCATT